TTTTTTCATCTAAAATTTCTAAATTCCTAAAAAGTACATAGCAGTTTTCCTTATGGTATCGATATTCAGAGCTTAATCAAAAAAGTCTTATATTAACGATATGTATACCTATGTAGTATCACATATTTAAATATTATAATTATATTCTTATTTACTTTATAGTGGAAAACTTACCTAACTTTTGCTTTAGATCATGTTTTTTTTTGTTGAAAATTAAGAATTACTATTAAAGAAATAAAGTTATAATCGCATATATCGCATTTTACTTCTATATAGAAAGTCGGGACCAACAGCATGAAGGCGAACAAAGGTTATATTGAATTGCAATAAAATCATTGACCATCTTGCAAAGTGTCTAGAAAGTGTTGGTCCTGTCATCAAATATTGCAAGGGATTATCTTTGAAAATAAAGGTATCCTTATGAGAAAGCATGTGTTGTCTAAGCTTCTGGGCACAAAAATCAAAACCAAACGATGCTTCACAACAGGTATACATGTAATGTCTAAGCTTTTAGGCTGCAAAAATTAAAACCACACAATGCTTATCAACAAGAGTATACTTTACTTTCGCTGGCATTAGATATTGAGTCAAGTAGTAGAGTGTGTTTTCCTTACCTTCATCATTGACCTGAGCTAACAAAGCTCCGAGAGAGTCGTCTAAGGTTGTAGTATAAAGTATCAAACGTTTTACCATGATAGGGTCCTGTAAAAAAAGAGACGTCGTTAAGTATTTCTTAATCTCTTCAAAAGTCCATTCACATGGCTCTCCCCAAAAGAATGAGGCATTCTTTCGGAGTAAAGTTGGAAAAGGCTGACACCTTTGTGACAGAATATATATAAAGTGTCATAGGTGTCAGTTTACCTTGTAAGAAACTTAGTTGTTTCAAAGCCCTAAGAGGTGGCATTTCTAAGATGGCTTTAATCTTCACTAAGTTGATCTCGATTTCTCGATGATAGACAACGTGTCATAGAAATTTCCTAGAGGTGGCACTAAAGATGCATATTAAGGGATTTATCTTAAGATTTTTTTGTTGTAATCATTCAAACACCATCATCAAATCATACAAATGTTCTATTTACTGCTTGCTTTTGATGACCAAGTCATTCACGTAGCACTCCAGCTGGTTATGGATGAGGCCATAAAAAATCTTCATCATGGCTCGCTGGTAAGTTGCTCTAGCATTCTTCAAACCAAACAACATCACTGTGTAATAAAAGTTTATAATTGACTTTTTGAACGTTATTAGTGTTGCATCTTTTGAAGCCATATTAATCCAATTGTACCGGGAATATCCATCCATAAATGAGAAAATTTCGCTTATGGACATGATGTCTACCATTAACTCTAGTATCGGTAACAGAAACTCATCATTTGGACATGCTTTATTTAAATCCATGATTAACCGAAATATCATGTTATTTTAAGTATACATTTTATGGTAATTTTTGGTGACATTGCAGTTTAAAGAATGGTATTTTTCATATTTTTTTACAGATATATGACGTTTATGCATTTGGAATAAAAGTAGCAAAATGGACGAATTCTAGAGCTGAAAGAGTGAATTTTGGGAATTATGGCTCCGGATGTGTTAGATTAGAGCTAGAAGCACCATTTTATAAAGAGTTGGCGCCAGATTTGCCAGACTTGGCACCCAAAGCGCCAAAACCCAAAATAATGTAGAATTAACTAAGTCGACGCCTGATGCGCCAAAACAAGCGTCAGGCATGCCAGCGATGACTTTTTGTAGATTAAGGCAGTTCATGATGAATTTTGCATGACTTTAGAAAGGGACACTTGTTCTAAACAACTCTTGGAGTGGTTCAATGTATGTAGACACTTTGGAAGGTGCTTTTATGAATGGATATGCCTTTTGTATCAATGGACATGTCTTTTAAATTCAAAAGGGTTCACTATTATATAGAATTTTGAAGGGAATTTTGAATTCTTTTTAGAGGGAGGCAGCCTTTAATAAAAGATGGGTTTTGGAGACTTTGTAAGTGTGGCGTGTAAGGGCGGACAAGAGAATTTGAGGGAGGAGGAAGTAAAGGGCTTAGAGATTTTCTTCAAGGATTGTAATAGGAGAGGGAAGGTGGGAGATTTATTCTTCATTACACTCCTAAAAGAGAATTGAGAGTTCTTGTAAAGAGATAAAGATTTAAAGATAACTTTTAGAGATTTGCTTAGAAAGGATTGTGAGATAAGTTGTGTCTTTTATTTCTTTAGTTTTGTAGGGACTTCACTATTTGGTTCAATAGAGGAACCCAGGAAATCCCCCAAAAATGGTAGGTGTCACCCTCAAAAAAAGAAAAACTAAAGAAAAACTACAATAAAAAAGAAAAACTACAATGACTCAACAGAAGAAAATAAGTGTGAGATTGCATCTGTCCCCACATTAATCATTTATCTTTGTAGACCATTCTAATGCGAGGGACATTCATAATATCTCCTTGCAACAGATAAAAGAGAGCAGGTGGAGGGTTGACAGCAACTTCAGTCTCATTAGAGTGTGATCCAAGTTGGACCAACCAGTTTGCAGGTTGGTTACCTTCCCCTTAAATGAAAGTGAACTGAATTTGTATCTTTCTAGTGAGATCTCTGATTTTGCTTATCCAGTATGAGTAGCGTGAGGGAGTCTCCTCTTCCTGATTTAAAAGGGGAATAATCACAGCAGTATCCACTTCTAAGCAAATTCTATTCCAATTAGCTTTAGTGGCAAGTTTGATTGCCTAATACACATCAATGAGTTCAGTTTCAGTGGCATCAGTGGCCAGGACTGGGGTATAAAAGTATAGCAAGCACTTACCAAAATGATTTCTGTAGATACCTCCCACACCAACTCCATCTTTAGTAAAGCTTCCATCAGTGTTAATCTTCACAATAGGATGATTTGGGGTTTTCTAGTGGACTCTAATGACTTGAATAAGATCAGACTTAATGGATGTACCGGAGTTACAGATGTTAGGAAATCCTTTCCAATTAATCATCTTATGCAAATAAGTTACAAAATTTCTAGCAATAATACCCACATTTGGATTTCCTTCTTCAAATTTGACCTTGTTTGTTTCCATCCAGATGAACTAAGCAATGGTGAAAGGGATAGCATCTTACTTTCTTATCTTCCAGTGCCACCAGCAATTGACCAGCCTATCCCAAGTGAGCTCTTTCTGATCAATTGTCAATTGATTTAAGAACTGTTTCCATACTTGTTGAGCAAAGTCACATTCAAAGAATAGATGATTCAGAGTTTCCTCTTCCTTCTTACATAACCAGCATTTAGAGGGACCTCTCAATCCATTCAGCTTTAGAATGTCATCAGTAGGAAACATTTTATGGAATATTCTCCAACAAAAAAAGGACATAGAAGGGGATATGAATTTATTCCATAACTGATCACCCCAGGGGGTTTGCTCCCAACTAAAATTTTTAGAATATATGGCTTTGGTGAGGCCTTGGTGAGAAGTAGTCTGCCATAAGATTTTGTCAGCAATATTTCTATTAAATTTTATACTGGCCACTTTGGTAATAGAGTGAGGTTGCAGAAGACTTGCTAACTTACCCAGGGACCAGTTATCACCATCCCAACAATCAGCCACTTTCAATTCACTATTGTAGATATTGGTGATGGCGGAGAGCCAATCTTTGGGACACCAATTGTCAAGCCAAAAATTGATTTCCCCATTTCCCAGCTGCAATTTGTCTGATTTTTCAGCAATTTGTCTGATTTTCAGCATTTTGACCCAAATTCTAGAGTCACCAATTTTCCTTTGGACCAGTGTGGGGTGCTGATCTTTGCAAAACTTACCCCACATGAATTTTTCCTACAGCGAATTTTGAGTCCTAAACTTAATCCAGAGTTTACAAAAATTGACTTGAAGGAGTTGATCAAGGTCCTTAAAGCCAATTCCCCCAGCAATTTGAGGTTTAGCTGCTTTCCTCCAGGAAGCCCAATGCATTTGCTGTTTTTGACCAGACCACAGAAATTTATTAAACAGTCTCTCCAGCTGTATTTGAGTGCTTTTCTTTATGATAGTCATTTGCAGTATATAAGATGGGAAGGTAGTGATTATGCTCTTTCACAAAGTAATTCTTCCCCCATAAAAACAAGAAGGTATGTGTCCACCCATTGAAAAGGTTAGATATTTTATTCAGTACCTCATGAAACTGAGTTTGTTTGGTTTTACCAGTGATAATAAGCACCCCAAGGTACTTAACAGGGAGTTGAATAGTTGTGAAACCAATATAATCAGATGCCCAAAGTTTGTGAGTGGAGGATACATGTTTATAGAATACCATCTGACACTTTACTAGATTGAATGCCATACCTGAAAGAGCTTGGAACTTTTGTAAAATTTGGAAGACTTTTCTGATAGCATTTTTGCTGGCTCTGGAGAATACCATTATGTCATCAGCACATAGTAAATGAGTAATAGCAATGTTGGATCTATGGTGGTATCTGTTTTGATTATGATTCAACAAGGCTTCATCAAGCATTCTGGAAAAATAATCTATTGCAAGTATAAAGATGGTGGGTGATAGTGGATCCCCTTGCTTTAAACCTCTTGTAGCAATGAAAGAGCCCCTCCCTTGCCCATTTATCAGGATGGAATGTTCATTGTTGTGCAGCCACGTCCTGATTAGGTGGCAGAAACCAGTGTTAAATCCTCTAACACTTAGAACCTCCAAAATGAAATCCCAGCTTATGGTATCATAAGCTTTCCTTAAGTTCATATTACAAACCATATTACCCCCTCTACAAGCTTTATTCAAGTTCTGTAGAAGTTCTTGGGCCAGAAGAGTATTATCAATGATGGACCTTCCTTTCACAAAGGCAGTTTGATTGGGTTTAATTATAGAGTCCAAGTGAGGTTGTAGCCTATTCAAAATGATTTTACTGATGGTTTTGCTAATGACAGTGGTCAAACAGATGGGTCGGAAATGATTCCAATTTTTCTGTATTTCAGATTTAGGGATCAATACAGTGGTGGAGGAGCAAAGTACTTTCAAAGATTGTTGCCTTGGAAGAAGCTTATAATAGCAACAATAACATCAGTCTTAATAATTTCCCAGGACTTCTTGTAGAATTCAGCAGTAAATCCATCAGGGCCAGCAAATTTAATGCTATCGATGGAACTGATTGCATTCCATATTTCCTTTTCAGTGGGGATGTCAGTAAGCTTGAGAATAGCAGTGTAGTTCAGTTCTTCCATGAAGTGTGCCTTCTCAATGTGGGGTCTAAAGTTATGTTCCTGGTTAAGTAATTCTTTGTAATAACATGTAGCATCATTTGCTGTATCATTGTTGTTATTTAACAACTGGCCATTGGCATTTTGTATAACATGGATGGTATTGCATTTTATTTTATATTTGATATAAGAAGGAAAGAATCTGGTGTTTCTATCCCCATCAGTGAAAATATTCATGGTTGCCTTCTGTTTAAGAAATTTTTCCTGATAATCAATGGCACTGAGGAGGTTGTTCTGAGCAATCAGCAGCTTTTTCTCCTCCTCAATACCAAGCTGTCCCCCATTCTTCAAAGCTTTAACTTCATCTTCAGCCTTCTGGACTGTCGCATGAACATTTCCAAAATTGTTCCAGCTCCAACCTCTCAGGGCTTTAGCAATCTTGATTTGCAGTAAGCTTAGCTTGACTAAGGGGTCAGGGTGAGAGACCCGTTTCCACAGGTCAGCAATGTAATTACTATATGAAGGATGTGCAGCCCACATGTTGAGATATCTAAAAGGGAGGGGGGAGCTATAGTTATCAGTTGAGTTGATGCTTATAATAATAGTCCTATGATCTGAGCCAGCAAGGCTAAGGTGAGTAACAAAGGTGAGGAGGAAGTGATTGAACCATGCATCATTAACCAACTTTCTATCAAGCCTCTCCCAAATAGATCCCCTTTTCCAAGTGAAATTAGGTCCCTTGAAACCCAGATCAAAGAGACCAGCCCTGTGGATATTATCTCTGAAGGTATTCCTCTTGGCAAGGTTTGGAGTTCTACCTCCAGATTTTTCAAAGGTAGAAATGATACAATTGAAATCACCCCCCACCAACCATGGCGAGTTCACCTGTTGGCTGATGTGAATCAACCTATTCCACAGCTTATTTCTAGCATCCATTGTACATCCAGCATAAGTAAAGGTAGCTTCACCTTTATGTCCATTCATATTGAATGAGAGGTGGACAAATTGTGGATGATCAATTTGAATATCAAAATTTGTTTCTCTTCTGCAAAAAATCCAAATTTTATTATTAGTGTCCCCAAAATGAGTGAAGCCAGCAAATTTTTTAATCAGGTTTTGAGGATTCTTGTGAACCATGGGTTCAAGAATAACAATGTACCACAGTTTGTATTTGTAATTTAGGTATAAAACTCTTTAAAGGGACAGAGGGTTAGCCATCCCCCTTATATTCCAGCAAAGTAGATTAATCATGGAGTGGAGGATGTGGGGAAGGCTGGGATATAGATTTGGTTCTTCCTTTAAGGAGTGGAAACCCATTCCTAGTTCTATCAGCCTTCATAGATTGTACTCCTGCTTGTAAGTTTTTCACTTTTGTCCCTGGCTTTCTCTTTTTCCTTGCTGTTTTAATTTGCCAATCCTCCTCAATGGTTTGTTTCAGTTCATTAATGATTGGTTCCTTTGGGGCTTTATCAAGTATGTCTGTGATGATTTGCTTCCCCTTCTCAGCATGCAAGGGGGATATGGGTGTGACAATTGTGAATTCAGTATTTTCCACCCTGATTGATCTGTATAGTGGGATATCAACCTGACTGTTGGGTATAGATAGCTCTCCAAGAGGATCAGCATCTGGTGGATCCTCATTAGTCCTTGGGGGTGATTCTTCTATCCTTGTATTTGTTTCCTGTCTCTTTTCTAACAAAATTTATTCAGCAGTGCCCCTTGCATCATTAGCCACAATTTTTTCAGTAGCTATGTGGTTTCTTCTTGCCATCTTCCAGTTTGGGGGATGTAATCTGTAACATTTATCTACTGTATGCCAAAACATCTTGCAATGTGGACAATAGTAAGGCTTCTGTTCAGCTAATATATCCTTCCAGAACCCTTCAACATCAGAACCAATCCAGATTCTCTTCAGTTCAGGGAGTGTGATATCTCTTTCAACTTGAATTCTAGCAAGGTCAGGTCTAGCCTTATTATAAGTAGGAGCATCCACTCTCAGAGTTGTTTCGAGTTCTCTACCAATATTAAATAGAGCATTGAGCTTAAAATAGGGTAGAGGTAAGCCAAGTAACTTAAACCAGATGGGAACTACAGGAGGTTCTTTACTAGGATCAAAACCTGGGCTCCATTTGATGATCTTCATAACTGTTCCAGCAATGTTAACAGATTGTTTTGCAAACAATCTTGCATAATCTTCCTCAGCTGCCAATTGGATTAGAAGGTGTCTCCCATCCAAAAACCCAATTTTCCAATTGCCTATAAACTTCAGAGATTCAAAAAAACTTCTAACTAGGTCCATTTTGGGATGTCCTAGCTGAAATTTGCCCACTAGTGTGAACTTAACCTCATCTCTTAAAGCATTAATTTCATTGGTAGTGAAGTACACAACTGTTTCACCCTCTTTAGTTCCAAGAGGGTGAATACAAGGACTATTTCCATTTCCAGTAGCAGTATCATGTAACTCGTGTGGGAATACTAGAAGGTCATAATCCTGTAAAGAGTCAACGGATTTCCCCACCACTCCAACATAAGTTTCTTTTGTCCATTAGGAGTCAGTCAAAATGTCAATGGAAGAGGCCATCACCCTTCCAAAACAAGCATGTTATGATTTAACTAGACAGTAAAGACTATCCATAAGTAAACAGAGAAACCTAAGAGAGTATTCTCCCAAAGAAGACAGTCACTTCTAATACCCAAGAGATAGTAGCAAAAGAGACCAGTGGACTTTTCCTCCCCAAAGGGAGTTCAGCAAGGAATGAAGCCTCAAAAAACCAGTAATGGGACAAAAGAAGAAGAAACCAATGGAACAGTGCCACAAAAGTTAGCAGGGAATGAGCAACGACCCCCAATGAAACAATGTCAAGGAAGAAACTATAGAAACAGTAAAGAACTCTACCACCACCAACTTGTAGCAGCAGCTACACTCCATCATCCTGCCAGAAACCCTACTAGATGAAGCGGGCTCTCATCATGGGGCCTAGCACTGTGTGTGTGTGTGTGTGTGTGTGTGTGTGTGTGTGATCAGTTTCAGAGAGTAGATTATATTTTAAAAACAAATGAAATGCCGCTTAATTTTAATTTGGAAATTAAAATTTTTGAAGCATAGATATTGGAATTAATGAGACCATTTATACCTTCATTTGAAAATATGTATATATTGATTGCAATGGAATATGTTTCAAAATGGATTAAAACAATTACTTTACCTTGATTTGATGCCCGGAGAGTTTCTAAATTTTTAATTAAAATTACTTTTACAAGATATGGAATGTTAAAAATAATCATTGTCGATGGGGGATTTCATTTTAGGAATGCAAGAATTATAAGATTGGTGGAAAAATATAATATAATGCATAAAATTGCATTTGCTTATCATCCCCAGACTAGTGGTTTGGCAGAAGTATCTTATCGTGAAATTAAAAGAATTTTAAGAAAAGCGTGAATCCTAATCAAATGGATTTGTTTGCTATATTAAATATTGCATTATGGGTATACATGATAGCTTATAAGACACCTTTAGGAATGTCCTTATATAGATTAATTTTTGTGAAAACTTGTCACTTACGAGTAGAATTGAAGCATAACGCTTATTGAGCTATTAAGGATTTCAATTTCAATTTGAAAGATTCTGGTGAGAAAAGATTATTGTAATTGAATGAGCTTCAAGAAATTAAGAATGAATCTTACGATAATGCTTAGATTTATAAGGGGAAAATAAAAGAATGGCATGATCGGATAAATAATAAATAAGGAACTTGAGCCTGTATAGAAAGTGTTATTATACAATACAAGATTGAAATTATTTCATAGAAATTGAAGTGTAGGTGGAAAGGGTCATTTAGAATTGTAAATGTCTAGCCCTATGGAGTTGTTAATATTAAAGATCCCGAGATTAGAAGGATATTTAAACTGAATGGGCGTAGATTGAAACCATATTTTGATGGTCATAGAATAATTATTTAAGAGACTGTAATGTCGGGTCACCCACAATAAAGACTAGGAATGTCGGGCTGACGGAATTAAACCAAGCACTTTGTGGGAAGCAATCCATATTGATCCTTGTTTAGTTTGTTTTTATGCTTTTATTTGATTTATTTTACGTATATTAATATATTTGTGCTTCTATAGATTCCAAGTGTTTTAGAAATTTGACATTAAGAAAATATTTAAAAACATCTTTATTTTTTTAATTGTTTGTAAGAATTGAGAATTGATTAGATCAAATATGAAATGGCAAATTTTTTTGGAACCGGCGCATGATGCGCTAGATTGGCGCCTGAAGCGCCAGAATCAGTACATGAAGTGCCACGATAACAAAAATGACTTAAAAAAGTCTCAAAAGGCGGTTTTTGGTGGAATCTACTCTTTATAACTCTCAAAAAAGCTGATTCCAAGGTCAATTTTAGGGGGGAAAATGAGGAAGTCACTAGTTTTTAATTTCTATGGCCTCTCACTCTAAAAATTCCGCTAGATTTGGAATTTTCAACTGGAGAAAGTTCATCAGTTTTCATGTGCAAAAGTTACATGATTGTGTTCTTATGAAGAAGAGGCCAAACAAAGAAAGGGGGTTTGTGAATCAAGAATTCAACTCACCGAATACTGAGTAGAAGAAATCATTGTGCAGAGACGCTGGGAAGTGCTTTGCTACACTACTATCGCGGTAGTGGTCCATGTGGTGAAAAATTTCTATGCAAATCTTGTTGGAATCAACCAAGGAATTGTATATGTGTGAGGCAGGTTTGTGCAATTCACTCCTTTATAAATAAACAAGATATTTATGATTGAAAGTGTGCCTATTTGCCACTACCAGAATTTTACCCCTACAAAAGATAATATGAATGAACTCTATCGATACCTTACGTACGAAGATACAAATTGGGAGACCAGAGATGATGGAAATGTATGTTTTCCTTGATCATTTTTTAAATCCTGCTTCTAGAGCATGATAATTCTTTATTGTATCGAAATTACTCCACACTATGAAAATTAGTAAGGTAACTAAGGAGAGTGTTATTCTAAACTACTATATTCAAACTACAAAACGTGTTGATATTGGAGCAATACTTTTGAAATCAGTTTTGGGTTTGATTTTTAATGGATCTGCAACTAGATTGGGGCATCCATCCACTATTTTCCTACTTTGCAGTCAATCTCAAGTACCTTATGATAGTCGGAAGAAAGTGCTTTTTCCTTGAAAGCTGATGGATCCAGAAGTCTATTGCAACTATATTTGAATGGGAGATGAGAATTATATGAATGTGAATTATATGAATGTACTGATGATGAATGTACTGATGGATTAAGCATCCCAGAACTCATTGCCTATTCAACCTTACTTCAGTTTAAACATACTTTTGAAAAGAATTAAGAAGATAGAAAAAGAGGTACAAAACCTTATGCATGCATTTGGGAATGTTTTTGAATTGTTGGATCATTTGAATTGGAGACTTAAGGAAAATTTTGAACATATTGGTCATATTGAAGATGGTTTGGTACGTATGTTCAAGAAACATGCTTGGATTGGGGATGATTTAACTAATGAATTTCCTTATCAACCCTTCTAGAATTTTTACGTACACTACCAACCTATGGGAGATATTCATGAGGAAGAGGGCAAAGAAGATGTTTGAACGTAATATATGCATGAAATATTTTGTTTAGTGTTGCTTGATTGTGTTAATGTGTTGTGTTGGATTGCATTTACTTTTTTTGTTAAACTCTATTTATGTTTGTGTTTAGTATTTCGATGTTTAGATTTTAGTGTTATGATGTTTGGTTTGCTTTGGACAATGAAGTTGATGTTGTTAGCTTGAAAAAAAATGTTAATTCATAATAGAGCGGATTTTATATTTATATAAGTGAGTTTTGTGTTGTTTGTAAAAGTTTGGTTTTAGAGTAATGTTTAAATTATGATTATAAATGTTCATTTGAGTTAA